CATTCTACCATCTCTTCCTTCAGAACTGCAGTGTTCTTGTTTTGGGTTGGTTTTGGAGCCACCCCCAGCAGTGCTCAGAGCTTACTCCTAGTCTTGCACTCAGAAATCCTTTCTGGTGGTGCTCGAACCATATGGGAGGCTGGGACTCAAATCCAGGTCAGCTGTGTGCAAGGCAAGCACCCTACCCGTTGTACAATCTCTCCAGCCTCATCCACCAGATTACTGAATTTAATCTTAACACACCTCCATAGGCTAATGATTCTGAAGTTGGACCTTGGCCAAAATCTCCCCAGATTCATCTATCCAACTGCTACTACAGCACTTCCATTGGGATTCCCATAGGCGTTTCAAACTTTACTGTCCCAGACAGAGCTGTTTCTCCTCCAATTCCTTCTCCACTCATCGTCTCCACTGCCTCCAAATATACAATAAAAGTCTCTGCTTCTTGAGAGTAAACCATCTACTTCCTAGCTCAAGAGAAGTCTCAAAGGTTGCTGTGATGGGGTTTCCCTGCCCCACCCACACACACAGCATGTAACACCACCACTGTTTCCTGCTTGCCAGACCTACCAAACAATCCTGTTTCTCCACCTCCTGGTCCCTGTCAGCATCTAGCACAAGTCACTGCCCACACTCACTTGGAAAACACCAGCTTCCTTCATGCTGCCTTTCACACGGAGAAATCCTTCCAGAGATTTTTGTTTTCTTTTTTTAAATAACACACACCTTCCTCCAACCCCTAGCCCCCTAAGCACAGAGCTTGGAAGAGCCAGAGCACAGCTGTGGGTGACCCAAAAGCAGTTCTGTCAAGACTGTTGTGAGGACAGTGAATAACAGGAATACATGTACACTTCCATGTGAACTTATGCATCTGTATTAAAACAAACACAAGCCCTCCTGAGAGAGACCCGCCTATATGCATTTCTAAATAGTTCAGAGATGTTCAGCATCTGAATTAATCTGGAAATGACTGTTACAATGTACAGTGAGAATGTCTGTCTTTTTTCCAAATGGATACCACCCATCTTAACATCATGTATTGGTAATTTGGTGCTTTCTCCTGCACAGGAATATCCCTTAGTGATATACTAAGCCCCCCTGCCCTGCTTTGTATATGGGGGTACTTCTAGGTTATTCTGTTCCACACTCTATTCTATCATGGCTCAATGCCAGCAAGTAAGACGATAGCTTTATTTATTTATTTTGCCTTTTTTGGGTCACACCCAGCAATGCTCAGGGGTCACTCCTGGCTCTGAACTTAGGAATTACTCCTGGTGGTGCTTGGGGGACCATATGCGATGCCAGGGATCAAACCTGGGTTGGCCGTGTGCAAGGCAAACGCTCTACCCACTGTGCTATTGCTCCGGCCTGACAATAGCTTTATTATAATTCTAGGCTATGTTTGATTCGGAAAGGAGGGACTTTAATTTTCTTCAAAATCATGACAACTATTCTTGACTTATTTTTAGTTCTGGTTTAGCTTGTCTTTCCATACATATTTTAAGGTAAATATGTCAGGACCCATGGAAAACCAGAGGTTTCCCCTACTCCCCTTGGTAGAACATGCCTATAGAGCATGACTTAGTTGGTTATTGTCTTTGGTCTGGGAATGCTAGTGCCACTGTTTGGGGTGGGAGTGGGTGCTCCCCAATGGTGCTCAAGGACCGGAGAGGACACTCGCAGCCAACCGGGGATGCAGTGTAGCTCGACCTCAAGGTGCCAGGGGCTCCTTGGTGGGGCTCAGGGGCCATCAGGGCCACTCAGTGCTAACAAAGGTCTCGAGAGCTGTGCCTGCAATGCTTAGGGGACCACGTGGTGCCAGGGATGAAACCAGGGTCAGCTGCATGCAAGACATGCTATGCCTTAACCCTCCTGCTATCCTTCTGGAACCTATCAACTCTAATTTTTCCCCCTGGTGTTTTGGCCTGTGATGCTCAGGAGTTACTCTTGGCTCTGCACTCAGGAATCGCTCCAGGAGGCATTGCTTGGGGGAGCATATGGGATGCCCAGGATCAAACTTGGGTTGGCTGTGTGCAAGGCAAGTGCCCTGGCCCTTGTGCTATCTCTCAGGCCCCCAAATCAAATGTGTATCTTTGGTTTTGTTTTGGGGCCACACCCAGCAGTGCTCAGAGCTGACTTCTGGCTTTGCGCTCAGAGGAACTTACAGGATGCTGGGGATCAAATCCAGGCCAGCAGCATGCAATGTAAATGTCCTACCCACTCTACTATGGCTTCATCCTTAATTCTAGTTGAAATGAAAACTTTTGAGCATGTCCACATCTAAAAAAAAAAAAACTAAAAAAATCCATTAAATAGGAATATTTTCAGATAGCAAGAGAGACGAAATTGAAATTGCAAGTCAATCTTTATGCTATGGAGACTTCTCATCCATGAATATAGTTTCTCTCCATTGTGGTGGTTTTTCACGTTTCACTACAACTGTTTCTTAAGTCCCAAAATGACACTGATAGAATTGATCTCACCCCTTCCTAGGTATCTTTTTTTGTTAATACTAAAGTTATTTATGAAGAAACTGTCCTGATTTGAACGCCATTTTTTCCCCACCATTTGCTGAATAATCCTTTCCTTCCCCATGACGCGGTAGGGCATTTGCCTTGCATGCAGCCGACATGGCCGACCCGAGTTCGATTCCTCCGCCCCTCTCAGAGAGCCCGGCAAGCTACCGAGAGCATCTCGCCCGCACGGCAGAACCTGGCAAGCTCCCCGCGACATATTCGATATGCCAGACACAGTAACAACAAGTCTCATGATGGAGATGTTGTCTCATTGCTGGGCCTGCTCGAGCAAATCGATGAACAACGGGAGGACCGTGAACCGTGAACCCCACAAATATCTTTCACCTTTAGGGGTTTTTAGTGTGTATAGACCCATCGTCCATTCACACATACCACACACTTTCTTCACTTCTCTTGTTTCTAGATCTTCATTCTGCTCTACTGGTCAGTCTTATCTGCCACCAGTGTCATATTGCTTTCCATTTTTCTTGTGGGGAGCACCCCAGCAGTGCTGGCCTGGCAGTGCCTGGAGACTGGTTAGGAGTCTGAGAGATATGGAACCGAATGCCACATGCCTCTCTTGGCAAGCATGTGCTCTGCCACTTGGCCCCCAAACCAACACCACGCTGTTTCAAACGGTCTAGGTTTAGAATGTGCTTTCCTGCCATTCCCAGTCATTCCCAGTCAGCCTCACACTTGGCTGTCAAGTGATGCTTCCGGGTAGATACAATTTGATCAGGTCAGTTCCTCCCAGGGGTCCGCCTAAGTCAGCCCCCACTTTGGGGGTGGGGGGCGGACTTTGGAGACACACCCAGCAGTGCTCAGTGCTTACTATTGGCTCTGCACTCAGGAATTACGCCTGGCAGTCTCAGGGGCCACATGGGGGTGCTGGGGATTGAACCTGGGTTCGCCACATGCAAAGCAAGCATCCTACCTGCCGTGCTGTGGTTCCAGTCCCAAGTTAGCACTCTGGGGGAGCTCTAAAGGCCTTTCCGATCCTCCCACCAAAGAAACCCTCCCGGTTCCTGCTCCTCACTAGCTGAGACCCGCTTGCGGACTCCTGCTTTCTCTCCCCTCCACCCCTGCGGTCAGCTGCTTGACCAGTATCCCCAAAGTCAGAGGAGAGCCCGGCAAACAGGAACGGCACTTATGCTGCAGAGTACACCAACAGAGGTTTTAAATCTGCATTCCAAGGCACACTGGAAAGGTGCGTTTTGAAATGGAGATAGGACTAGGTGGGGGGTGGGGGGGTTGTACAGCCAGATACCGAGCACCACACATGGTCCCCCCCAGCATCTGCAGGAGTGGTCCCTGAAAGAAGAGCCAGGAGTAAGCCCTGAGCACTGCAGGGTGTAGCCCCCCTTCCCACCCACCCCCCACAAAAAAAAAAAAGATTAAAAAGGAGATAAAATGAGACCTGGAGAGACTTTACTGGTTAAGGCCCTTTGTAGCTGACCCAGGTTTGATCCCAGAATGCAGTGAGCACTACCAGAAACGAACCCTGAGCAGGGCCAGGTGCGGCCCAAACCCCAGCACCACCCCTCTTGCCTCCTGCCCCCCAAAATTAGAGAACTAGTTCAGTGCATGGGTGATAGCCCCAAGGACTGGACACATGTTTTGCACGCCTAAGGCCTTCAGTTTGACCCCTGGCACCGCTGGGGGCTCCCTGCAAGCACCCAGATGTAGCCCTGAGCCACAGCAGGGCTGCGGAGGGCCCAGGGGGCCGCGCCCCTGGGGCTCCTACAAGAACGCTGGGTTGAGAGAAGGCGCCCTGAGTGCCCTGGCATTAATCTGCAGGCTCAGGCCCGCCCCCGCGGCAGAAGCGTGCTGGTGGCTAAGCCCCAGGAAAGGGCCGGCGTGGGAAGGGTTACACTGGCGGTGGGGGTATGAAGAAGCACGCCCACTGCGGGGAGGAGGGTTCTCCGGAGAGAAAACGGGCAATACTGGGAGGCGCCCATCTGTCCGTTCACGCGACCACACGGAGCATCCCGGGAGCAACCACTGGAACCGAGGGAGGGAGAGCACGAATCTCCCGCCTCCACGGGCGAAAACGGAGCACGGGGTGGGGGGCGCTCCGCCCGGCTGGAAAGCAGAATCGGGGGCGGAGAGTCCCCATTTCCGAGCCCTCTGCGGTGCTGCACTTTCAAGTGACCGTCAGCGGGGGTGACCAGAGCCCTCGGGCCATGCACCTGTGCAATGTGCGAGCACGAAGCCGGGAGGCCCCGGAGGAACGAGCCATCGGGTCCCCCGGCCCGTCTGCACCCCGAGGCCACCGCGCCGGCAGGGGGTAGCCGCAGGTGCGCCGGGGCCCACTGTCGCGGCCAGGCCGGAGGGCCAGCGCGCCGCCGGGGTCACGGCCAGGCCCTGGCGCCCGGCGATGGGTCAGCGGGTCACTCCGGCTCCGCGCGTCCTCGCGGGGGCGCCCCAGAGCCGCGCCCCGACTCCGCCCTCCCCGCCCACACGACACGGGTCTCCGCGTCCTACCTGCCGGCTCAGGGGCCCCACCCGCCGTGCTCGTGGCGGGCCCGGTGCCCCCCGGAGCCCAGGCTGCGGCGCGGCGCGCTGCCCACTCCCTCCGCCCGACGCTGGGCAGCACGTGACCCGCTCCTCCCGCCAGGGCCCGCCCACCGGCCCCGGAGAGCCCCGCCCACGCCCGCCCGAGCCCCGCCCCCGGGTCCCGCCCCGCCCACCCGCCCGCCCGAGCCCCGCCCCCCGATCCGGCCCCGCCCCGGCCCGCCAGAGCCATGCCCCCTATTCCGGCCCCGCCCCTGCCCGCCCTAGCCCCGCCCCCGGGTCCCGCCCCGCCCACCCGCCCGCCAGAGCCCCGCCCCCAAATCCGGCCCCGCCCCGGCCCGCCAGAGCCATGCCCCCGATTCCGGCCCCGCCCCTGCTCGCCCTAGCCACGCCCCCGAGTCCAGCCCCGCCCCCGGAGCGCCGCCGACGCGGTGACGTCAGCCGCGCGACGCGCTCTGTCTGCGACGCCGGGACGCTGCGGGGTGCTGTGGGCGGAGGTGCGTGGCGACCTCTTTCGGGGCTGGAGGCCGAGTGGGGTGCGTGGGAAACGGAGGGGGTCCGGAGGAGGAAGGGGAGGGGAAGGAAAGGCCCCGAGGCCTGTGCCCCGCGGCCGGGCTGCGCGGCGGCGTCCCGCACCCCGCAGGGCCTGCCTAAGGAGGCCAGTTTTGCAGGGATCGACCCCCGTTTCCTTGCGGGGTTCGTGTGCGGGCCCGCGTCCAGGTGTGAAGGGAAAACCTCAGATTGGCCGAAGCCAGGCGGGCTTCTTTGCTTAAAGCTCCGGTCCTTCGGGAGCCAGTTTATTTGAGGGTGAAACCGCCGATCCATCCACCCAGCTCGTATCTTCCTTTTGGGTGGGAGCTGGGGGTGGGACTCCCGGGGTCTTAATCTCTTTGATTCTTCTCGTACTTTTTTTTTAAAAATGTTTTTCATTAAAGAATTATCAGGCAGAGCCACTGATAGTTGAGTTTTTAGGCATATAATAATATTTTGGGGTTTGGGGGATTTTGTTTTTGGGCCACACCCGGTGATCCTCGGGTCTTCCTCCGGGCTCTGCACTGAGGAATCACCCCTGGAGGACCCCGGGGACCCGATGGGATGCTGGGGATGGAACCCTGGTCGGCTGCATGCAAGGCAAGTGCACCTGCCGGTTAGGCGCTGTGCTCTGTCTTCGGTCCCAAGGCATGTAACATTCCTACACTGATTATACCGCCAGTATCAGCTTTCCCCCGCCAATGTTCCCGTGGCCCATCCCACCCCGCACCATCCCCTCCACTTGACAAACGTTACAAAGTTTGGTGGTTAAAGCTTAGAACTCATGTTTTCAGTGTTGAGCCTGTTGATCCACCTCACGGAGAGAGTATACCCAGGGGAAGACACTTGCCTTGCAGGTGGTAGAACCTGGTTCGGTCCCTGGCATGTCATATGTTCCCCTGAGCCCTACCAGGTGTGTCCCTGGTGTGTCCCTACAACGAGGAAAAGGAGAGGATTGAATTCATTGCCTGGAATCATTTCAGAGCAACTAATTTGTCCTTCCAGGGTCTTACCTATTCACCTACTCCTGGGGGCAAAGAAGTCTAGGGAGCACATTAGGAACCTGAATTCCCGGTGAGCTTATATCGGCCACTCCTTTATTTTTTGCAGTGGATGGCAGGTAGAACTGATTTTCTAGCAGGATTTAGACATCACCAGTGGTCAGGCCCTTAAAAATTCTGTTAAAAGATTAGGCTGGCGGTGTTTTTCCTTAAGGTTAGCCCTAATACCTTCAATTTAATTAATCTCTATATTCAGTATTTTGCCTCATTTCAGAGGTATGTCACCCAAGTACATGAAAGTTGACACTTGAATTTTATATTACTGAATTTCATGTCACCTTATCCCTCTCCCTAGTGCTTTTGAGGTCATCTGCACCTTCTGACCGGGAAAGATGGTCAACGTCTTGAAAGGAGTGCTTATAGAATGGTTAGTAGTTTTCACTTAATGAGTTTTCAATCTTACTGAATCATGATTCTTGTGTGTACCTCTCTGAGCCCCCCCTTTTTTTTAATGTTTTAAATTTTGAATCAAGTCTTTCTGCTTTCTCAACTTCCATTTTCTTTTAAACGGAACAGATTGTGTTGCAAAGCTTTTTTCTCCGCATTATTTCAATGTCCTTGTTGAATGGATGTGATTGGCTTATTTCCAGCAAATGTTGATCAGGAACTCGTGTGTGTGTGTGTGTGTGTGTGTGTGTGTTTCAGATTAGACCTCCTCTTTAGTGGAATAGTACTTAGATTCTCAAAACATTGGAGAGATTGAACAAAATTTTATGGAGCCAGAAGGATAGTATAGCAAATTGCCTTGCACACACCAACCAAGGTTCAACCCCAATACCACATATGATCCACTGAACGCTGCCAGGAGTGATTCCTAAGCACAGAGCCAAGAGTAAGCCCTGAGCACAGCTGGGTGTGGACCCACCTTCTCCCTTCCCCCCGCAAACAAAACAAAACAAAACCCACAGTTTGTCATGATGAAGGCTCAGGCAGACTTAAAAATTTGGGGGGGAAGGGGCCACTCTACATGGTGTTCAGGATTTATCCCTGGCTCTTCACTCAGGGGTCACTCCTCAAAGGCACAGGACTATATGGGGTGCCAAATATGAAACCTGGGTTGGCCATGTGCAAAACAAGCACCCTACCCTCTGTACTATCACTTCAGTTCCAGAAACTTAGGTTTTCTAGAATCCACGTTAAAAATGAAGCATACAAAATGAATACATTTTATTATGCCAACACACATACATAGAATATTTCAGCACTTGGGCTGGAGCGATAGCACAGCGGTAGGGCGTTTGCCTTGCGCGCAGCCAGCCCGGCCAAGCCAGTTTCAATTCCTCCACCCCTCTTGGAGAGCCGGGAAGCTACCAAGAGTATCTCGCCCGCGCGGCAAAGCCTGGCAAGCTCCCCGTGACGTATTCGATATGCCAAGCACAGTAACAACAAGTCTCAAAATGGAGATGTACCTGGGCCTGCTTGAGCAAAGCGATGAACAGCGGGAGGACAGTGCTGCAGTGCTGCAAAATCCTGAGTTGTAAGACTCCTAAACTTTGTTAGTGCAGTCTAAAAAATTGTACCAAGTCTCTTTACATCCAGAAGTCTCACAGGCTGTAACAGCCCATGGAGACCGTCCCGGGCTGGAGCTCGGTCAACAAGCACTCGCTTGCATGTGTGACATGTGACAGCCTGGGTTTGCTGTCTGGCACTGGAAAACAAGCAAGAAACGAAGATTCTGAATCTAACACACATTTTCCCTCACCCACTGACCGCATTTCCGGCCCTTAGTGGTGACTTGTGGTTGGACTGAGTGAGTGAGGTGGAGCAGGATGGAGACTCGCGGGTGGGCCTCGCTGTATCTTAAAGAGCTGTTTGAGTGAAGAGGCGGAATATATTGAGGGCTCCGAGGGGAAGCGGGGGCTATTCTGAGAAGTTTGGTTGACAGTGAGCCCTGGAGAACTGGACCAATATCTGCAGGAGGACATGGTAAGAGTCTCTGATCTGGGCCTCTGGTCTCTGCTGTATTTTTTTTTTCTCTTTGATGGGGGGCGGGGCGGACAAAGAAACACAGCAGTGCTCTAAGCTTACCCCTGGCTCTGTACTCAGGGCTCACTTCTAGCAGTACTTGGGGCCATGTGGGATGCTGGGGATTGAACCCAGGTTGGGTGCACGCAAGGCAGACACTGCAGTACCTTTGGCCCCAGTCCTGGCTGTTTCTGTTTCAGTGTGTGAGAATAGAGGAATATATGCTGAGAAGAATAAACCCGTAGGGGGGCTGGAGCAGTAGCACAGTGGGTAGGGTGTTTGCCTTGCATGTGGCCAACCCAGGTTCGATTCCCAGCATCCCATATGGTCCCCTGAGCACCGCCAGGGATAATTCCTGAGTGCAGAGCCAGGAGTAATCCCTGTGCTTTGCGGGGTGTGACTCAAAAAACAAACAAAAAGAATAAACCCATTGAGTGGGCATGTCGATTGGTTCAGACTTTCAGGAAAATAATTCTTCCAAAATCTAGGAATTGAGTTTTCATGTGACTCAGCAATAGTGCTCTCCTGGGAATATACCCCAATGGCCAAAAAAACCACAGTGCAGAAAAGCCTTCTGCACTCCTGTGTTCACTGCAGCACTGTTGACGACAGCCGGAATCTGGAAATAACACAGTGCCCAAGAACAGACTAGCGGATAAAGAAGTCGAGGGGAATCTATACATTGTGATGCTGTGCAGCCATTAGAGAAAATGTGGGATCGTGAAATTCACTGATGCATGGATGAATGTGGGGAGTATCTACCTGAGTGGATCCTGTTTAATGGATTATTTGGGGGCTTGGCAGAGGCCGTGCTCAGTCCCTGGAAGTCCTTCCCAGTCCATACACAGAGCCTGTGCTCTCGCCCTCTGAGCACTGTCCCTGTGTCCAGTTTGAGAAGCCCTTCATCTGCCGAAGCCTGCGCTTGTCCCCTGGAAGTGCACTGTTGGTACCAGCAGTAGATGGCTGTGATTCTCGCAGAGCAATTTCATTTCCCCTATGAAAGATGTGTAATCACCAAGCGGCTAGGAACCCCTTGGCTCGCTCTCTCCTCCTGCATTCAGTGGCCTCATGCCACTTCCCCATCCGGGATGGCCGATGCCATGGGCGGACAAAGGAGGAAACGAGAGCCTGGCTGGTTGGTGATCACTTGCCATTTATTCCATTCACCCCACGCGCTTGCTCCAGTCTCACTGAGCCCCTCATTCTCGTGTCCTTCTGTCCCCCTCGCTCATCTCTCGGAGCTCCCACGTGCCACCTTGGTCTCTCCTCTCTCCAACTCCCCAAAATTGCAGGTCGCCACCACACCCCAGCTGGTAGCTCAGTCAACACATGGGGATCAGCCAGGGGGTCGTCTGAAATGGGGAATGCCACTTAAGGGGTTTTTTCTCCTTTCCTTAGTCCAATAACTTAATATCTTAATTAACATGTTAATTCTGCTTCTTAATATTAGTTGTTTTGAATGGACACAGTAAGAGATACATTAAGCTTACAGGATGGCTCTCCTGGGGGCACCTTGCTATATATCTCAGACTACAGTGCTCAGGCCAGACTGATCTTTCCTAAACCTAGCAGGGTCCTAATCTACTTGTTGGATCATGGCAGTGTTTGTCCATGACCATGCTCTTAATTTATAGTTAAGTATTATGGCACTTTGGCCTGGCCCATTTCGATGCCAAGCTTGTCCTGGGTCCATCCAGTCCCTTGTTGGGGCCCTGCTTTACAGGTGCTAGGAACTAAGGGCAACTGAGGCTTAAGTCGAGAAAACAGGTACCCGGGAGTAAATATTATTGGACTCAATTAACTCCCAAGTTACAAAATTACAGCATTGTCTTCCCCTGTCTTTGCAAAAAGGAGTTTGCTCTGAATTTACTATGCAAAAGACTTAAGAACAAAAGAAAAGCAGTATTTACAAGTTAACAGTCTGATTAGGAGATAAAGGTGATTGACTGGTTAGGGAAGGAGAGCACAAAGAAAGAGGTTACAAATAAACAGAGGAATGGGAGCACTGTGATGGTAGTGACCCAATAAACCTAAGCTCCCTGTGGCAAGGCAGACAGGACAAACCTAAGTTATCCTACAAAAGGTGTCAAAAGGGTAAGTGTCTACAAAAATACTAATCTTCCTGAAAGACTCGGACCTGAGAAATCGCAGCGGGTGCCCCCTCCTTCGCTTTAAATGACACGTGGTGTGGGTTCCGCCCTGGCTGCCTGTGATGCCAGCGGCCGGGCTCCTTGGCCCTGCGGTTCCAGCACGGTCTGTTGGTCTCAGCGTTGGATGTGGGTGCTGTGGGCGGCCTTGGGGTGTGCTGGCTGTAGAACTGAGGGGGTCTGATTTTCGTGGCAACCGAGTCCATCTCCTGAAACTCGAACTATCCATGCTTCTTCTGATTCCAGTCCCCCCACCAGGCGTGGCTGATACTGTGCCTCGGAATTCTCCTCAGATGTCTTCAGCCTGTTTAGGGGGAGTCTCTCCCAAGGGTTGAACCCAGGCACTTGCTTTACCACCGGGCCATGCCTCTCCAGAAAGGGAGTCCTTTGGTATGACCCAGAAGACAGCTACCTGCTGCATGTAAACCCCAGCTCCATCTGTATCTTCCCATTGACGTGGAGTCTATAATAACTAAGGAAGCTGCCAGTCAAGTTCGGTTAATGGTGAATTTAAAAATTCAAGGTATTCAGATCTGAGAGTCTTCCCTCCTAAATCTTATCAGATTGCAAACTCTAAAACCAATCTCTTGGGGTAGGGCGTTCGCCTTACAAGCGGCCAACATGGCCGACCCGAGTTCGATTCCTTTGCCCCTCTCGGAGAGCCCGGCAAGCTACCGAGAGTATTCGATATGCCAGACACAGTAACAACAAAGTCTCCAATGGAGACGTTACTGGGCCCGCTCGAGCAAATCGATGATCAACGGGAGGGCCTTTACCTTTACCTATGTATTTATAAATTTTTAAAATTTGCCAGGGCCTAAGTGATAGTACAGTGTCTAAACTGTCAGGGGCATGCCGGAGAGATAGTACAACAGGTAGGGCTCTTGCCTTGCACATGGTCAACCAGTGTTCAATCTCTGGCACCCCATAGGTTCCCCAGCATCCTCCAGGAGTGATCACTGAGCACAGAGGCCTGAGCACCACCAGGTACAGCCCCAGAACAAGTCAAAAATATTAATAAGAAAAAAAAAGTAGGGGCTGGAGCAATAGTACAGCAGGGAGGGCATTTGCCTTGCATGCGGCCGACCTGGGATTGATTCCCAGCATCCCATTTGGTTCCCTGAGTACCGCCAGGAGTGATTCCTGAGTGCGTGAACCAGGAGTAACCTCTGTGCATCGCTGGGTGTGACCCCCCCTCCCAAAAAAAAAGAAGAAAAAAAGTTAAATAAGAGCTACAAATGTGAACCACGGAACCACGGTCCTCCTGTTGTTCATCGATTTTCTCGAGCGGGCCCAGTAGCGTCTCCATTGTGAGACTTGTTACTGTGTACAAATGTGAATAGAAAATAAATTACCTAGCATCTGCCTGTGGCAGGCACACTTGAATAGTGGTGGGAAAATTCGAAATAACGGTGGTGGGGAGGTGTAAAGGTGGTGGGATTGGTGTTGAAATAATGTAATCGATGTGAACAACCTTATAAAAATAAAATTTTAAATTTTTTTTAAAAAACTACAAATGTGAGGTGGCTTGGGGAAGTGGCTCAGTGACAGAGCACCAGCCTGGCAGGCAGGAGACTGAGTTTGATCCCCGGCATTGCCCACGTGCCATATGTGACCCCAGCACCATCATGACACATCAAAATTTTATTGGTTTATTTTTGGACCATGCCCAGCGATGCTCTGTGGTTACTCCTGACTCTGCTCTCAGGAATTATTTCTGGCGGTACTCAGGGGACTGTATGGGATGCCAGGGATTGAACCCAGGTCGGCCGCACGCAAGGTAAACACCCTATCCACTATACTGTCTCTCCAGTATGCCCCTGACATTTTAGACAAAATCTACGCCCTTTTATTTCAAACACTCATCCACAGGCCAGACAGGTAGTGCAGCAGATCGGGCACTTGCCTTGCATGCAGCTGACCCAGGTTCACCCCCAGGGCCCCATCTGGTCCCCAAAGCACCACCAGGAGTTACTTCTCAGTGCAGAGAAAGGAATATAACCCCTGAGCATCTGAGAGTAACTGAGTGTGACCCCAAAAGGCAAAAAACACTCATCCACCTGAGAACCTTCTTACCCTCAGGTAACCTTAATTCTCTTGTCATTGTCCATTTTTAATAGTTGTATAGTATTCCGTTGTAGAAAAACCGTGCCATATCTTTACCCAGCCATTCCCAGTGGCTTGCTTCCCGATGCTAACTGTTGTTAGTAGTGCTGCAGTAACCACGGGGGCGGATATAGTTTTTTCATGTTGTGTTGCTGGAGATGCAGGTGGGGTGGCTGGATCGATCATATGCTAGCTCTGTCCTCAGCTGCTCGGGAAAGCGCCGTGCTGTTTTCCAAAATGGTGGCATGGAACTAAATGGAAGGGTTTTGTTGGTGAATTTGTACTTGCGTGTCCAAATAAGATCCGTGAACGTTTCCGCTTTGTCGTGCTCCTCTGCCAGCCTCACACCGCGCCCTCCCCAAACCCTGCCAGCCCCCGCGAGTGCTGGGGCGCGAGCATCTGCCACACTTGGTCTGTCCAAGCGCAGGTCTCCGGGGTGACGCACAGTCACCTTGGCAGCGCGTCAGCGGGGAAGATTGGCAGAGAGGCCACGCCAGCCGGCTCGCAGCAAAAATAGCAAAGACTCGGGAGAAACGGCGGCTTGGCCAAGGCCGGCCTTACCCTTCCAGGTCTGCCTTCGAAACCTGGGTGGTGGCTGAGCAGCAGGAAGCCCAAGCGAAGCCTGGTCGCCGCTTGTCCTCCGCGCGGGTCCGGAGTGTGGCCCGACTCCTTAGTGGGCCACGTACTCCGACCCAGGCACCCGGCAACCACCACGCTTCCATGTGGAAGGAGCGTAGTCAGCTGTAGGTGAGCCCGGGACAGAATGAGGCTGGCCCGCGCCCTCGACCCAGTCCCTGTCCCTGACAGAGCGCCTCTGGCCACGGGGAGCCTGAGAGGATCAGAGGGAGTCGTGGCGAAGTTTGATCTAACTCTCAGCGCAGTTTCCCCCAGACAGCTGGGCCGGGAGGTGCCCGTCCGTGGTCGGAGCTGTCACCAAGCAGCTCCCGCCTGGCGGGGTGCCCACTCTCTCTGCGCAAGTTCTGGATTCCAGCCCCAGCACCACGGGGGGCAGCCCTCCAAACTAAAAAATATTTTAAAATTTTTTTAATTGTAGCACTGCACTGTCGCACTGTCCTCCTGTTGTTCATTGATTTGCTCGAGCGGGCCCAGTAGCGTCTCCATTGTGAGACTTGTTGTTACTGTTTCTGGCATATCGAATGCGTCACGGGGAGCTTGCCAGGCTTTGCCGTGTGGTCAAGATACTCTCGCTGGCTTGCCGGGCTCTCCGAGAGGGGCGGAGGAATTGAACCTGGTTTGGCCACTCGCAAGGCAAACACCCTACTGCTGTGCTATTTAATTGTATGGAAATAAAATAGAACAATTAAGTGATGTTAATACAGGTTAGGTGAAAAGTCGCGTTAATCACTAACACAGGTGACATTAGTAGCAGGAAGGGATGGGCTGGGGGCTGTCGCCCGAGTGGTCGCGCAGTAATAGGCGCTGACCTGGCCTCCTAACATAGCTGGGTACAGCTCCGGGGGTGGTGTGGGGGGCGCCAGGCTACCCAGCACACAAGCAAAGAGTATGCGAGGCACCGTGGTAAGCCCGGGTCGTCACTTGGCCCTCCAACGGAGGTAGAGGCACTGTGGACCCATTGGAATGAGGCAGGGCCCAGCTGTCAGTCACGTAGCTAGTGAACTGCTGGCTGGCCCAAGCCTGTCTCCCGGCAGGAATCTCAGTGTAGGGTACTGCATTAAGCAGGCTGTGGGTAATGCCGTGTCTGCTTGCAGCTGAAATCGGAAGCCATTAGTAGGGACAGAGCTGTTTGTATCCTGAGCCTCTGCCCGATCCTCCCACGGTGCCACATGCTGTTCTCCTGAGGATTTAATGAGGACAAGGTGTCTGAGACACTAATCCAGCAGCCTGTGACCCAGAGGGGTGCTGCTCCCTCGCCCTCGGGAGCTGGAGGGAACCGAGGCGGAGTGACAGAGTGGCTGGCCAGGGGTGCTCCTCAGGGCCGTCAGAGTCAGCCTGCGTGGCCTCTGAGGAGTTTTCTGTGCCGTAAGCCCCTGGCCAGGGCACAGGTGTTTGTCGCAGCCCAGCAACAAGATGGCCTTGGCTCTGCGAAGCTCAGATGCCGAGAGGCTTTGGAAACTGCATGTGAGCGAGGAACAGGTATAATAAATATATCAGATGATTCACAGGGTACATTCACCAGCAGATTCATAAACCTTGTTCAGAGGGTGTGGAAATTGATAGAGAAGTATCTTTCAGAGTCTGTTGTGGGACACTTGTGGCAGTACTGGGCCTTGCTCATGTGGACATGCTCTGCGCCTTGAACCACATCTCCAGCACTGTAGTGTGGAAGCCACGGCACATTTTAGAGGGCCAGAACGACAGGACAGCGGGGAGGGCGTTTGCCTTGCATGTGGCTGACCCAGGTTCAATCCCCAGCATCTCATGTGGTTCCCTGAGCACTGTCAGGACTAATTCCTAAGTACAGAGCCAGGGGTAAGCCCCGAGTACTGTCACCCAAAAACCAAAAGAAAAAAAGGAACTTAATCATACGTGCTAGCTAATTTCCAACAGGAAGCATAGTTTAGCACAAACGGAATCGAATTGTCCTGAGGGGGTGGGCAGGACCAGTGGTGTGGCCATGTCCTCCTGGCCCTTGGGTCTGGTGCTTTTTCAGGGTCCTGTTTTATCTGAGTGCTCCCGAGTTCTTCTGGCCGAGATGGCCAAGGGTGTGAGCAGGGAGGGGGGTGGGCAGTTCCCCGGCGGGCAGCAGGAACTCAGTACCTCACCCGCACCTGACAGAAGCGTGTCACTGGGCAAGGCCAGTCCCTAAAGCCCTGAGGCGCCGTGTGACCTGACCAGGTGTGGGTGCACCTTTCGGGGGCAGCGCTGCATCCTGGCCCTTCCCCACCCACTCACCTCCTGATGGTCTCCGCATTGCCAGTCCCAGGCCAGGACAGTCTCTGGCACGGGGCAGCACCTGTATTTACCCAACGGCTGTGTGTGGCTTCACGCGGCCGTAAGGCTGGGCAGGTCCTTCCCGCACCTGAGGGTGCCGCTGCGCCCCCACGGCCACGGGCCTGGGTGGGACTCTGCCAAGTCTTCAGTGGAATTGAATTTGGGTCTCTCCTTTGAGCTCTGTGCTCTTGGGATTCTTAGGATTTCCTTGAGAGGTTCTAAATGACCCGCGAGGTTCGGGATTGGAAGGGGAAGGCGCTCTGAGTGCCCGCCACACGCCAGACCCCAGGCCCCGCGTTGCTCCTCTCGCTCGGAGGCTGAGTACAGTCAAGCCACACGAGCACCCGTGACGCAGAGGCTGAGATCCAGACCTTGATTTGCTCCCCCACAGCAGTGACTTTGTGAATTAGCTTGTCATTTGCAAGGTAGTGAAAAACTAGGGACTGGAACTAGGGACTGAAGCCCTGACCGCTTCCTCCTGCAATGTCATGGTCACAGGTCAGGAGGGAATTCTTTTTTAAAGCAGTTTTGGGCCTGGTTCTAGGCCCTGGCTGCAAGCTTTGAACAGCCCCCCTGGGATCTGTGTCTTTTTAAAGCTCATCATTGGCGCTCCGGTAAAACAGGACAGGACAGTTCTAAATGGAAGCTGTGCTGTAAAGCCTGGGGGGGCGGGGGGGGGGGGGCAGGGAGGGAGGGGGAGGGGTGAGAAGCGGGGAGGCTTGCGTAACACTTTAATCTGATTAGGAAGCAGTGAGAGAACCAGAAGCTTTAAACAGTCCTCTACAGTTTCGTGCTCCAGCCCGCAGGCTGGGTGGCTGGTATCTGGTGACAACCAGTTCCTTCTCTCCTCTCCACAGTGACCCTGCCATGAAGCAGTTTCTGCTCTACTTGGACGAGTCCAATGCCCTGGGGAAGAAGTTCATCATCCAGGACATTGATGACACGCATGTCTTCGTAATAGCGGAGCTGGTTAACATCCTCCAGGAGCGAGTCGGAGAACTGATGGACCAGAACGCTTTTTCTCTGACCCAGAAGTGAACGTGATTCTCGGGCTGCAGGCGTGCGGCGGGAGAGAGCCCAGGCGGGCCTCCGAGGGGCGTGCTCGGAAGGGGCAGAGGATCGTGGTTCAGGGAAAAAGGCCTGGAACAGATTTTCTTGTGTGTGTTGTGTTTTTTTTTGTTTTTTTGGTTTTTGTTTTTCCAGAAAAACCTTTACCAGTTGGCTGTAGTTGGACTTTAGTATCCCTATTAAAAGAATATAAATATTTTTCTACTTTTTTAATACCAATAGTACTATTAAGTGGAATGTGCATTTCAGTGCTGCCTTATTTAGGTATGATCTTCTTGTTCCTGTTAATACTTGTGGGGTTTTGTATTGTAGGTGCGATTGTTTGGTTTCAGTGATAACCATTGCAGAGTCACTATTTAGCCACTGCAGACAGTCACTCGAGCCCCAGCACAGTCGCCCTAGCTGCCAGCCCCAGTGAGAAACTTCCAGAGAACACGCGTGCTCTGCAGTCTGCATTTCCCCACGGATGAGAGTTTTTCAGCCGGAAGAGGCTAGAAACAACCAAACAGAAAGAGCACCTGCTGTTTTGCTGCCTTGCCATTTTAATTTTAATTCAATTTTTAATTGCTTGGGTTTGGGGCCACACCCAGTGGTGCCTAGGACTTGCTCCTCGCTCAGTACTCAAGAATCGCTCCTGGCAGGGCTCAGAGGACCATATGAGGTGTCTGGGATTAAACCAGGGTCAGCTGCGTGAAAGACACGTGCCCCTCGTGTTGTATCTTCAGCCCCCCCCTTTTGTTATTCGCCTTTTTCCAACTTTGTTTTGGTACTAGAACAAGTGCTCTTTGTGGCATAGTTTTTTTATAGCTTCAGAAATGGCTCAGAGGCTTGGGGCATTTGCTTTTCATGTATGAGATCCTGGATTCCAACCCTTAATTTCATTTGTCCAGCTCCACCCAAAACCCCCCCAACCCCCTCCCCAAAAAAAAGATCCAGGGCTAGGTGTTTCGTTCAGCAATTATTTGCAAAGTATCAATGAGCCTTCCATTCCCCAGCACCCAGAAAGAGACGAGAGAAAGAGGAGAAAGAAGAAATTTGTTTTATTTCTGCTCTGTTTTCAAGAGCCCCTCTTTAAACTTACCTGGGAAATCAAGGAGTGTCTGGAGATACGGTACAGCAGGTAGAGCACCCACCTTGCATGCGGCCGGCCCAGATTCAATCCCAAGCACCCACGGCAGCCCTCGGAGCCCAGCAGAGCTGATCCCTGAGTGCAAAGCCAGGAGCAAGCCCTGAGCACTGCTGGGTGTGGCCCCCAAACAAAAGGAAGTTAAGGGGAAAGCAGATCCCAGCACAGTCTGCGGGAACCAGCAGGATCCGACTAAAATCGTCCGTTAAAGCCGACAGGTCTGGGCTGACTGGCGGCAGAGCCAGTCCCACTGCTGGCCTTGCTTCCTGGCCTGGGATAGCAGTGCCACGCGGGGCATCTTCCAAGAGGAAAGAGGAATCCCATGGTGTCCTGAGGAATTTTTGTTTATTTTGGGCCACACCTGACCATAGTCAGGAGCTACTTCCGGCTTGGTGATCGGGGTCACGACCAGTGGTGCCAGGGCTCATAACCATGCGCCCAACCCATAACCCAACCCATAACCATGCACCCAATTCATAACCAGAGGAAACTTGATCAAACCCAAGTCTTGCTTTCTTGTCTTTAGAACACCGTGTTCCATCTCCACTCCAGCATGCATTACGAGAGCTGGAAATTTCCATAACTTAGTATATGAAGGTTCCCACTCGTTACTCATTTCTTACTATTTTTATTCCCACATAACATTGCAAGACAATTTTGCTGAGTTACGAGTACAACTGGTACTCTGATTTACTGATAGGGAAATGAGCTTCTTCAGAATTTACTTCAGCACTGAAGGGTTACTAAACCTTGTAGGTAAGACATGTCCAAGTCAACATCCCTCAAGCATTGGTCCTATAGTTTCCTTCACATAAGGGCTGGAGCCATAGCACAGTGGTCGGGCATTTGCCTTGCGCACTGCCAGCCCAGCCGACCCGGGTTCAATTCCTCCGCCCCTCTCGAAGAGCCTGGCAAGCTACCAAGAGTATCTCGCCCGCCTGGCAAAGCCTGGCAAGCTCCCCATGGCGTATTTGATATGACAAACACAGTAACAAGTCTCACAATGGAGACATGACTTGGCAGCTCGAGCACATCGATGAGCAATGGGAAGGCAGTGTGACATTGTGATATTAATAAGATGCAAAGAGAAATATTTCTTAGAATCCCAGAGAATGAGAGATAGGAAGGAAAAAAAAGCTTTATTGACAGTACAAAGGGTTAGGGAAACTTTATTTCTGTTTTTGGCAGGGCTGGGGCCACGCCCTGCGGTGCTCAGGACTTACTCCTGGCTCTGTGCACGGCATCACTCCTGGCAGTGCCAGGGATTCTGAGCAGGGTCGGCCACGGCCACGGCAAGTGCCTGGCCTCTGGTGCTTGCTTTCCGGTGCAAGGGAGATCTTTGTTTCATCAGCTCTTCACCTGCAGTCCCTTGGGCTAGAGCAGATGTTAAATTTATCTTTATTAGCTTCATTAGAAGAAAAAGCAGTGAGCGAACAGCAGCCCCTTGGTTGGTCTGTCCAGCTATTATAGAACAGGACTACTTTTGGGGGGCGGTCACCCCCGTGTGTGCAGGACTTCCTCCTGGCTGCACGCTCAGAGACCAGTCCTGGCAAGGCTCTGTGGGGGCCCTCTGGGGTGCTGTCACATTTCCACATTTCTGTATTTTCTTTAGAAATACAATTGTATTTGTTAATTCTCTTCTTAGTTGTTTTCTCATCATTTTCAATGTTTTTTTACTCTGTTCCCAGAGTAATTTTCAGATATGTCACTACACTTGCTTTACTTCCGTGAAAACCCGCTTTCGAATGCCTCCGACTTCCTGGCTACTATATTTAGGTCTACAATGCACTCAGGTTGTTGGGGGGAGGGGCAAGGGGTGGTTGGGTGACACCTGGCAGTGCTCAGGGCTAGCTCAGGGCTCTCTGCTCGAGGATCATTCTTGATGGGGCTTCGGGACACTAAAGTATAGTACTGGGGTGCCAGGGATGGAACCCGGGCTGGCCACATGATGGGTGAGCCCTCACCTGCTGTGCAGTCTCTGGCCCCAACATTGAATTCTTGAAACTCTTCCTGGTCACATCAGGGTTTGTTTAATGAAATAAAATCATGGGGGCTGGGGCCGTAGCACAGTGGGGAGGGTGCTTGCCAGGCATGCGGCCCATCTGGGTTCAATCTCCGGCATCCCATATGGCTTCCTGAGCACTGCCAGGAGTAATTCCTGAGTGCGTGAGCCAGGAGGAACCCCTGAGCATCACCAGGTGTGACCCAAAAGCTGAAAAAAAAAATACACTGTGACTTTCTCTTTTTTTTTCTAACTTCTGAATTTTTTTGTTTATTTTTGTTGCAAAGCCTGGCAAACTCCCCGTAAAATATTCTATATGCCAAAAACAGTAACAAGTCTCACAATTTGATGTGAGACGTTACTGGTGCCCGCTGGAGCAAATCGATGAACAATGGGAGGGCAGTGAGTGTTTTTGTTTGGGGGGCCACACCCAGCTGTGCTCAGGGCTGGACTTGGGTTACCATGTGGAATGCTGGGGCTTAACCCTCTTGACCATCCCTCTGGCCCCCTTTTTCATTTTTAGTTGCAGTTCTCTTTTATGAGCAAAACACATTGATTCCTGATAGATTGGGAAGAAGAAAAGGAAGAAAATGTAACTAATCCACCTCTCAGGAATGAACATAATTCACATTTTGGGAGGTTTTGCTTGTGTTTTGTCTTAGTGAAGTAAGATAGTTTGTATTGAACGAAACTTATTTATGTAGATTTTTTTTTTCTTTTTTGGGTCACAGCAATGCTCAGGGGTTACCCCTGGCTCTGCGCTCAGGAATTACACCTGGCGGTGCTTGGAGGACCATATGGGATGCCGGGGATCAAATCCAGGTCGGCCACGTGCAAGGCAAACGCCCTACCCGCTGTACCAACGCTCCGACCCCTGAACGAAATTTACTGAGATGTGAGGGGGCAGAAGTAAAAGGAATGTATGTTCAAAAGAGAAAAACAGAGGAACTTATCAAGCCAGATCCGGGTTGACAGAGAAGGAAGCGACTCGAGAGGGCCAGACTGTTCTGGTGCTGGGCGCAGAGAACTCAGGACCTGCGCATCAAAGCACGTTTGGTGCCCTGAGTTATGAGGCCTGTGTCTTGCCGCAGTTAAGATCTGATGGACAGACCTCAAACCCTCTCTTGAGTACCAGGGCTGTGGCTTAAAAGGGAGAGCCTGTTCCTCCCACGCGTGAGGCCTGGAGTCGGGCCCCAGCACTGTCCGGCCAGGCTGTAGTGTGACTGTAGCTATAACTGACACCTGGAGGAACAGCCTTCCCTAAAGGGGGCCGGGGGCCTCCCCTTCCGACGGCCTCACTCTACAGCCTCCCATTTACCCAGTTTCCCCAGCTGCCTCCAGTTGCAAGTCTGCTGCGAGGCTGCCGGTGAAGGCGTCCTCCCGTTCTCACCGCAGCCTTGGTTTGCGCCTCCGCAGCCTCCTTTCTTTCGGGCCCAGCTGAGTTAGTGGCCTCAGTTTCCAGGTCTCAGTGGGTCCCTCTGCCACCCTGGGGGCCCCCAGCGCTTTGGGCCAGGCTGGCTGGGGTCAGGGTCGCCTGCCTGCTGGAATATGACTCAGTCTGGGCCCTTCTCGGTGTCTGGGCGCAGTTTTCGCAATGCCTCAGGGAATATCATTACTTGTTTGGGCCCTCTGCAAGTGATCCTCCAACTTCTCTTAACTGAAATAGCAATGGAGGAGTGGCCAGAGGACCCCTGCCCAGCCCCTGGCACTGCATCTGGTCCTCTGAACACTGCCTGGGGGGTTCTGATTATCGTTCCTCCACCAGGAGTTCTCCAGCAGGGAGCAATTTAAATCACCCTTTAAACTAATGAATCCTCGGTTCCTGAGGCAGGCTCAAGAGAAAGTGGCGTATGTAGGGCCCAGGGGGCTTCTCAGTGGCAGCGACTGAGGAGCTGCGGGTCTGCCCAGAGACCACTGGGCCCAGGTGACCAGCGTTGCCACAGTGGGTCCCTTT